ACATTGTAAAGATTTAAGTTACAATCGATCAACATTTTATCAAAAAAAAATATATTTTGCAACATGTTAAATTAAATTATGGAATATTTACCAAAAAATAATTATAAAATTGAGGAATGACCTAAATAATTAAATATATTCAAATAATTTGAAATTTAATATGTTCAATTTATATAAATAGAACCTCAAATGCGAAAAGTATGTTTTTTAAAATATTAACTAGTGTACTCCTACAGAAATTGAAATTCTTACAATAGGTTGATCATGACTTGAATAGAATCCAGTAATTGCTTGAATTTTGATTCATTAAAAAATTTCTTGAGTTTAGCTCTATTGCATTTAAAAAATAACACACCTCAATAACTAAAACCATCCACTATATATATAAAGGTTAATACATATAAATCTGGACTTTCAAAAAAATTAAAATTTCAATTTATATTTAAAATTAAATCTCAATTCAAAATTAAAAAAAAAATTAATCAGTTTTTAAATTTAAATATTAATATTTAATAATATAGATTTTTAATTTTTAAATTAAATTAAAATTAAATAAAATGAAGTACTTTAAGGTTAAGAATCTAATTTTTTTGTAATAATCGAAACTAATATGCATTTTTCCCATATATAATTTTAATTTTAAATTGTTTAATAAAAAGTAATTATCTTTTGTTATTTAACTTGATTCAGTTACATACAATTTAACTCAAACTTAAAGATTTCTCATTTCACTAAAAATAAATTACTACTAAGTTAAAGTAATTGACAAAACATATCAATGTCATTTTGTGCTATGGTATAAGCACACTGAATATTAAGGTGTCATTAAAGTGTGATTTTTTATTAGTTTGAGATTCAATATAAAGGTATCCTCATATTACAACAGAATTTTCCATTTGAATTTAGTTATGGGATGTTTACCAATTCCTTCACCCTGACTCTTGAGAAGTGAGAAAGTTGGTTTTGTAATTACATTTTTAGTTATGACCAATTTTTTTAGCTATGACCAATTTTTTTAGCTATGACCAATTTTTTTAGCTTATCTATCATCTCTTTTCGGTTACATTAGAATTATTAATACGAAGGACATACTGATACAAAGGTTGCAAGATGGTGGAAGAAGTGAGAAACAGCAAAATAATAAAAGATTAGACTTTTATTTTATTTTTTGTTTTAGGGGAGGAGAAAATAACAGTAAAAGGTATGGATTTTTAAAACAATGTCTGTTCGGATTAGAAACTAAAAAAAAAAAGAAAAAAAAAAGAATTACAATTCACTTAGTAAAGATTAGAGAGCACAACCTATTTCATGTTTATGGTTCAGGAGATTATCACAAAAAAATAAAAAAAAAAATTTTGAACAATAAGATGAAAAAAAAAAGAAGAGAAAAGAAGATAGAAAAACTAAGAGTTTGAACATATAGACTGCTAAGAAAGTCTCTATGAACTCTCAATTATTTGAAGAAATCATGGTTCTTGACTTTTTCTGAGCACACTTGACTTGGATAACTAACATCTTCTTCAGGGCTGGGTCTGAGCAGGACATGTTCTTGTCAAAAACATCTTCATCCATAGGCACTGTGCAGCTAGTTTTCCCAAGGCAATACTGCACAAGGCCAAGACACAAGATCAATGACACATTCGTTGTGGAAGACACGTGCAGAGAGCAAGAATTTTACTTACCTTTTCAACAATCCCTTTGGTAACTGGAGAGGTGCAATTTCCAGGAAAGTAGCTTCCACAGGCACCCCAAGGATCTCCAAAGTCTGCAAACTCTACAACAGCTATCTCTTTGTTGTCTGGACAAGTCAAGCTAGCACTTGGTTTTGCATCTTCCTTTTCAGGGACGACAAGCTGGCTACCCTTTCTTGCAAATGCCTTTACTGATGGTGGGTGGTGTTCAGTTGAGTGACCGCAGATTGTGTCTCTGTCGACAGTTAGAATTTCAGTGCTCGTGATATTACTACCTGGCTCCTCCTCAAAAACAACAATGAGATTGCCCTGTGGCTTCATGTAGGATCTTGGGATGTGAAACCTGAATTCAATGTGCATCGCAGGAAGAACTTAATTAGTTTCATCTTCAAGGGTGAGATTCCTTTTTCTTTAGAAGGAAAAAAATGACTATACATACTCAGATTGAGTAGGTTGCAGAAGAGGAGAAAGGTAAGATGTCCAATGTCGTCCAATGCTTTGCCCATTAATCCAGATCATACCCTTGCCCATTCCAGTCATCCGAATGGCAACAGGGTTGTCTCCTTCAGGGGCATCAAACTTTGCCTGCAACAAGACCGTTCAATTTTTAGTAAAATTACCCAAGCAACAACGTTTTAATATTTATAGCGTATATCTTTGCTAGGATTACCTTGTACCATGTTAGAGCATCCTCTTGAGTAGGTGGAGCTTTTGTCCACTGTACTTTTTTTGACCCTTCTTTTGTGTAAATCTTATTCTTTTCCCCTTCCAATCCAACCTGAAATTAGGCAACAAGCCTGTTATGTTCGTTTTCTCTGTGTCTAACTATAGAAGGTAAATTACAACCATACCTGATGTCCCCAACCGTTGACTGTCAGGTCAAGTGTTCCTGTGTTTAGACCAAGAATTGTCACAGAACGAGGCCCAGCAAATCGACGTTCCATGTATGGTCCGCTATCCTTTATTCATAAACAAAATCTCATCAGATCTCTTCTAAGATTAATCAAAGTAAAATCATGTTTGTCTTGCACACACTCCTTACCGGGAGTCCGATAACATAGGCCAAAATGGCTATATGGTTGCCTCCAGCATGCAAGGGTATAGCTTTCTGGAAGACAAAGCTCTTCTCAACTTTGCTTCCATGTGCAGATCCTAAAGATCATAACCAAAATCAATTAATCAACTTTTGTTTTAAAAAAATTTCAGTTAATAACTGTAAACCTCTTCTAAAAGCTATATATGGATCTGTTACCAGAAATCAAGAGTGTGAAAATGTGTGGGGGTGGTCACACTTACCTATATATTCACCATTTACAAAACAAAGTAATCCATGGCCAAGACTTGCAATCCGTATAACTGGAAGAATGCCTTTCTTCATTGGTAAGTCGTGTTGGTTCAGTTCAATGCTGCAATATGACGAATTGCATAAACATTTAAAATTTGGCAGTGCAGGGCAAGACTATATATCAATGCCCTTCTCATTATAAATTAGACTGAAAAGTTTCCCAAAAAGATGTTCAAGTTATACTTACAGTGTTGAGTACCATGCGTAGTCTGAGGTATCTTTAGTCAAGCTGTAGAGCTCAAATGGTTCCTTGGACAATAATGGAAACTGGGATGGAATCTTGTCCTTGTAGATTTTCCATTTTAGCTTCTCGTTTGCAACCTCAGATCGCACAAAGTTTCTTGCATTATGTTGTGCAACGATCTGCATCATATCGTCAAGGGAGGAAATTTAGTCCTATGAACTTTCTGTTTCTTTGATCTTTATGCTATTAATGGAGACATGTAAAAGGATTAGGAGTTACCGTCTGAGTATTGAAAACAACGGTCTTGCAGTCCGGGAGGATGCTAATTGAACGAGGGGGCAGGAAATGATCCTGGCCCCTGAAATTGACACTTTGCCCTTTCTTAGTGTCGTTGTTTGTCAAGAAAGCTGTACAATCATTATTAAAGTCCCAGACACGAGCCTGCATTACCAAGAGCTTAACTGTGAGTAATTGTAGCCACTCACTCTTCCATTACCACAGTATCGGTCTGTTTAGATGTGTACCTCAATCTCTGGACCCAACTTTTGGACAGAAGGAGTTCCCCAAAGCAGAGGCTTCTTGCACAACTTTAGTGCCCTGTGCAAGTCCCTGAGGTGTCCCCATTTTGGGTCCCTTGGCAAACCTACAGCAAATAAAAGCAAGTCCAATTAGATGTCTTGGAAGACAGAATGATTAGCCAGATACAAGGGTTTTGAATCTTTACCATATTCATCAAGAGGTGCTTCGTCGTAATAGCGAGTTGATGTGAAGGATGAGCTTGTTCTACCAAAATTTGTGCCACCATGGTACTGCATACAGGAAGAAAACCAATACTGATTTAGGTAAAAGGATTGGAGTTGGGGGAGAACGGTCAAGTGTCTTCCTAAGTTCCTACCATATAGTAGTTGGTTAGACTTCCACTTTTAGAGAAGAAGCGAGCAACAGCATATGCAATATCTTCTGCTGATCTCTGAGACGGTGGATCACCAAAAACTCTAAACCTGTAAATTGTGCAATTCATTGAAAGAAAGAAATTAGTATACAAAGCAAGGAAATGTCTGTAGACCCAATTCCCTCCTTTGCTCTATTCCTCTTTATCTTTGATCTCTCATAATGTTGCCACTCAAAACTGATAAACAGTTAGATACTTACTGTGCTGTCCAGTTCTCAGTCCATAATGAAGGCTTGTTGGGTTTGTTTGGACCAGTGAAAGTATCTCCACAATGTCTTCCGTTGCATGTATTGATCTGCAGGATGAAGAGGAATTCTTAGTCATGCAATAATAAACACACAGATTTTCATCTCCTCATGCATTTATGAAGAGATTTTTATTAGTTAAAGAGCTTATAGACTTACAATGGGACCAGGAGCATCTTTCTGTTTGCACATAATCCAAGGGACACCTACGTTCAACCCAAGAGCCAAGTTTCCTGCCCATTGCACGTAATTGGTTCCTGCTTCTTTGAATGCAAGTTGGATGGTGTTGTACTCATTTTCAATCTGCATTGTGAAATATCATTGTTATATTAGATAATCTTAAAGTAAAAGATATAACAAATAGGCTCTAGGAGATTGAGAAGATTCAACCAACCTGTGCTAAGATAATGGGGCCTCCTTGTGGAGCAAACAACTTCTCCTCCTTCATTTTATCGATTACCATCCTAACATACTTTTCCATGTGTTTCTGCCAAAGGTCAAAGTTGATTCAAGTGAGCAACTTGACTTAATGATTTATGCAAAATGATTTGGGAATCGAGAAGTGTAATACCTAATAAAGATTAAATTTTGATTATATGTAGATCTCACATGATTAATAATTGAAAAAAATTCAGCTTTCTTTTTGGCTTATCAATTATTATCCATTATTTAATTGCAGAAATAATCTACTATACCATGTGATTGGACGATGGAAGAACTTAGAACAATCACCTTGTATGGCTCATTATCTGTACGGAAAGTGATGTTTGGTACCTCTCTCATCCAATAGGGAAAACCCCTGCATTCACATTAGAGGTCAACTTTATCATAAGGGAAATTTAGATGAGAAGATTGATGATAAACAAGCTACACAAACCTAGAAAAAGAAGAAAGCAAACTTTACCCGTGGTTCCATTCAGCCTGGATGAATGGCCCAACCCTGAGAATAACATACATGTTATGCTCTGCAATCAACTTGATGAACTTCACCAAGTCATAGTCTCCATCAAAAACGTACTGCAAGTTTCAAACACCAAACGAAATCCCATAAGCTCGAAACATAATAACAACTTGAGTTACGATATAAGCATAATACATACATGCCTGAAAACCACCGTCTTACCTTGCCTTCCTCCGGCTCATGAGCGTTCCAGAAGACGTAAGTCTGAATCGCATTCAGACCTCCTTTCTTAGCCATTGAAATGAGTTTGGGCCACATCTAAATCAAGTCAAGAAACACCGATTAGTCCTGGCACACACAAAAGAAAAGGGTCGATGGGGATGCATAAATTTCATTGAGGCATGTATGATAACATACAGCTGCCGTGCTGCGTGTGTAATGGATGGAGCCAGAGAAAAGAAGCTCTCTTTTCCCATTGATGATCAACGACCTGGTGTCGTAAGCGACCGGCCCTGAAGATGTCTTCTCGTCGTCGTCATCCGCATTGATTGAAAAAGAACACAAAAGGGTGAAGATTGTAATCAGAAGTGTTTTCCTTGGAGAGAACATGGTTGATCCATCCACAGGAAGACGTGGGGTGGATTGTATGAAATATAGGCTCTGTGAATGAATGAATGAATGAATGAAAGAGAAATACGGAGAAACCAGAAAATTTGTTTCCATTTATAGGAGGAAAGACATCAACTTTGAATCCGGTTTTGGAGGGGGAACAATTCCACGTTAATTTGAAACTTTATATACTGACAAGAAAATAAAGACAAAATACAGTTAATTCCTTGAGTTTGGGGCGTTTTAATGAATGAACATCTTTTTTATTTAGTCAATTTTACTTCAATGTGATATTCCTTTTTATAAGTTTAAACAGTAAAATAACATTCTCAAATAAGAGAAGAGTCATTACCTATATTATTAAGAAGAAGTCCTTGAGATGATCTCAAGTGGATAGTTATGTGTTGTTAAGAACTACTTTATTTTAACAGAGGTGTGAAATTTTAATCTTATTCTTGTATTAAAAAGAAAAAATCCTACCATTAAGCAACTTAGGAAAAAAAAAAAAAATAGAGCAAAACCAAATAGATCTGTTTAACAAAGCCATGGGTA